CCCCAAAACCCCAAAACCCCAAAACCCCTACTCCTCTTCACCATCGACCTACTATTAACCCCACCTATTTTCACCAAATTTCTTCAAAAATTTCTAAATTTATCCAATAACACCTTTTTAACCAAAAATTAAAAAAAAATTAAATTCCGCAGAGATTTGGCGAAGTGAAGAAATTAAAAAAATTAGCTGGAGAAGGAAGAGGAACTGTGAGGAAAGAGGATTAAGAGGAGATGTAGGTTAGGTTGGGGCTGGAAGAGGGTGCTGGGGTGACAGCTGGGAGTTTTGGTCGGAAAAATGGTCTGGGATTAGTTCTGGAACGGAGAAAGTGGTGACTGATGCTTGGGAGTCAGTGATAAGGGTGTTCTATGTTGGGGTAAACATGTTGGGGAAATTTTTGGGTTTTTTACGGTATTTCTTGTGTTGGAATATTCGAATGCTGATTCGTCTAAATAGTAAGATAAATATCGTTCGATATTATTGTAGATTTTTCATACAACTATCTTTAATAATAAATCATCAAATTTAAACTTAAAATTCTTCAAAATCGAAAGCTTTTAAAAAATTGTTTTCTCCTAAAAAGCTGAAAAGTGAACAAACAGCAAGGACTAGGCTATGAACAAACCCTTGTCTTTTAGAAAAATGTATTGCTTATATAAAAAATTTGTTCATAAATGCTCAATGGCTTGCTGCAAACTTGAAAATTGATGATGTTAATATCAGAATTATCAGATAGAACTAATCTTATAAGGAAAATCCCTATCTCATATTTACTAAGCCTTTGAAGCTTAGCATTAACACATATTTCCCATATAAATGTTGTATGAGAAAGCTAATGAAGTACCTGATGTATTTTCATCTATTTCCTCTCTATAAAGTATAAGCTTGGCTCAAAATATTTACTTACTGATGAACCAAGTCTTTTCCTTTTGGATTCTCTCCACCGAGGAGCTCTGCCTGATGATTAACTTTCCCTGGTTCGCGAGAGCTTAAATTTAGCTTAAACTTCTTACTAAACATCTGTACTTCTTGCTGGGAATGCTTTCCCTTGTTCTAATCCTGGAAAACGATTTGGGATTTCTTGGGTTTTAATGATAGGATCTGTGATTGTTATTGAGGCAATACTATCTTCTTCATCAACTTTCATTCTAATAGGAGTAGAGTTTTTTCCCTCATCTATATTTTGATATGCCTTGTTGATCTTACCAATATTTTCTGGAAACTCAACCCCATCAAAAACTTTATCACTCTCTGGAATATTGTCTAGATTCGATTCAGTAAGCTTTGATTCCTCACGACCTTCTATATTCACTCAATTTCCACCACTTTTAAAACATTCTCCAACCCCCTCATCAACCCCTCTCCCCCTCTCCCCCATTCCCCACTAAAACCCTCCAAAACCCAAATTCTCCCTTCCTCTGTCTCTTCCAAAATTTGTTCGTACCTATCTCACTTTGCTCCTTCCTCTCTTGCTGCTCTTCTTCAGTGGCCTACATTAAAATTGACCCTTTTTAATACAGCCCTAGTGGAGGAGGGCAGCGTGGCTTTGGAGGACTTACTTGGGTCTGGGAGGGAGTGGGAGGGGAGAATGAAGGGTTCTGGGGTGGCTGGGATGAACTTTGGTTGCCCATTTTGGAGAGGGGTTTGTAATTATTCAATTGGGAAAGGAGGAATGGGGTTTTGGGGTTTTGGGGTTTTGGGG